TAATTTTATATTTTTAGTAGAGACGGGGTTCCCCCATGTTGGCCAGGCTGGTCTCAAACTCCTGACCTCAAGTGATCCACCCATCTTGGCCTCCCAAAGTGCTGGGATTACAAGCGTGAGCCACTGCACCCGGCCAATTTGTTAAGTTTTAAAAGTTAAAACAAACAGTATATAGGCCTCAATGTGTATTATTGTTGGAACCCTGCAAATAGTGGGGAGCATGACTAGCGAATTTACAACTTAATTAAAATTGCATTTGATCCATACCATTTGATTTTACAATCTGACCAACAGTGTATGATAGATAGGCACTGAGTCATATTAAACTGCAGCTATGTAACTACTTTTTACCTAGAAAAGGGATAACTTCATATGCTGCAAACTGTTATGATTTTTTTTAAATAGAGATGGGGATTTCACATATTGGCCAGGCTGGTCTTGAACTCCTGGCCTTAAATGATCCACCCGCCTTCATCTTCCAAAGTGCTGGGACAGGCATGAGCCACCACACCCAGCCTCCTCAACCTGTTTTTTAAAACTTTCTAGAGAATAAAATATGAAGAAAAAAGTAAGATTTTATGAAAGCTAAAACAAATGGAGTAATTTTTTTCTCAAAAGAAAAAATTATGGCAGGAAGCGGTGGCTCACGCCTGTAATCCCAGCACTTTGGGAGGCCAAGGCAGGTGGATCACTTGAGGTCAGGAGTTTGAGACCAGCCTGGCCAACATATGGAAACCCCGTCTCTACTAAAAATACAAAATTAGCAAGGCGTAGTGGCACACGCCTGTAATCCCCAGCTACTTGGGAGGCTGAGGCAGGAGAATCGCTTGAACCCGGGCAGCAAAGGTTGCAGTGAACTGAGATCACGCCATTGCACTCCAGTCTGGCAACAACGAAACTCCATCTCAAAAAAAAAAAACAGAAAGAAAAATTACTACATGGAAACTGCCAAAGTCTTCTAGTCCAATGTTAAGATTTTTCTCAAGAATTTTCCATAACACTCCTATACATTTAAAAAACTGAGCTAAGCATTTTTTTTTTTTTTTTTTTTTTTTTTTTTTTTTTT